TCTCGTGGCTCGAACTCGTCTCGTGGCTCGAACTCGTCTCGTGGCTCGAACTCGTCTCGTGGCTCGAACTCGTCTCGTGGCTCGAACTCGTCTCGTGGCTCGAACTCGTCTCGTGGCTCGAACTCGTCTCGTGGCTCGAACTGTTCTAAGATGTTCCAAGGGCACCTGCCAAGAACAATAGAGCAAATTGGGTTTGAGAGGACATGTCCACGTTTGGGGTTTAGGTACTTCAGACCGATGTGTTTACAAATTGGGATTTCCTCCAAGAAAGCCTCCGTGTTCATTCCGCCATTGTACATTGTGGATCAACCAAGTTGCCCTCGAGTTCAAGACAACATTTCACACGCTGCTGAAGGTAGCATTTGAGGAATATTATTAGACCCTTGCTGCTTAGGGAACTTGCAGAATTCAGAATTCTCATGATTGGGAGCTGCTCGTCATATATGCGCAGGCTTCTTCCGCAGCTGCTTCTTCACCGTCACCTTCTTCTCCATCGACAGTTCCAAAGCTTCCAAAAGTGGCGCTCTTTGGATTGCAACAATGACAGTGCGACACTTCTTCGATTCTGTGTGTGTGTTAACACCTGTCTCTAAGGTTTGTACCTGGTAAGTCTGCCGTAGGTTCCACTAGAAGGCTGGGTGCTACTAGTAGCTTCTGGCCTTACTACTAGGAACCAAACTGAAACAAACACAGCGCGAGTCAAAAAAGAGGCAGGGGGATCAGGGACGTTTGGCTTGGCCTGATCCAACGAAGCTCCAGCCATTCGTCAGGATATTCTCGAGGGACGCCTTGAGAACGTACCTGCAAAGCCTGTTGAAGCTGTTGAATAAGCTGTCCACTGCAGTGTTTTGCACTAATCGACTAGTAGCCTGCGAGCAACCTTGTTCAACATCTACAAGTCCATCGACTCTGCAACCTTTCGGTTTTCGTTCTTTCAGTTCATCAAGCCAAGGGAGACTTCACACTGATCCTAGCTCTTGCGAGCAACCATCCAAGTGTGTACTCGCCACAGAGTCCCACTGAGGGCTGTGGTGTGATCCCCGTCGAGGGGCGCTGCATGTGCATAGACCCAGATCCTGGGGGATTGTTTCCACCTTGGCATTTCGTTAGATTACTTCTGGCTTGACTGTCCTGCTCGATACCAATGATTTCATGCCGCAGGGCTTACTGAGACTCATGATCCAGACCGGATTTGCACTTCCATGCATGTGTCTAAGTATTCACCTGTACAGTCTGCACGTCTAGGTAATCACAGGCGGGGCTTCGGACTCAGACATGTCAGCGCATGTGCTTTTCATGCTCTTGGGTTCTTTCTTTCTCTCTCTCTCTCTCTCTTTGTTGCTTTTCGTTTCTTGAGGCCTTTCCCTAGGTTTCAGGTACCTTTCAGACCAGGGTGCCCCGGCCAAAATCGGCTTGACTTGAATGCCTTCGGGCCACCCTATCCCACCCTCCCCCCTACCTCCCTGCCCCTGGGCCTCCGTTGCTATCCCACCCGCCTATTTAGGGTAACAGAAGCAATCGCACTCAACACACTTGTGTGTTGGTGCCTTTCCTTCTGTTTCTCCTGTCCTACTTCTAGCTACCCGGGCGGTTTAAGACAAAAGTCCCGCTCGCTAACTACTTTCGTTTAACTAAGTGGGCCTCGCCCCTACACCTATCTTTCTTTCTTGCCCTTTTCGCTTGCTCTTGTTTTGTTTCTTTTTCTGTCTTTCTAAGGCTTTTTAGGTGGCTAGTAAACCTCCGGCGCGCCAATATTGGCGCTATGTGTGCAAAGTTGTTGCACTAAAATCGTTTAATGTAAGGGATACAGTGCGCCGATAGCGGCGCAGAGTGTGTGTGTGTGTGTGTTAACACCTGTCTCTAAGGTTTGTACCTGGTAAGTCTGCCGTAGGTTCCACTAGAAGGCTGGGTGCTACTAGTAGCTTCTGGCCTTACTACTAGGAACCAAACTGAAACAAACACAGCGCGAGTCAAAAAAGAGGCAGGGGGATCAGGGACGCTTGGCTTGGCCTGATCCAACGAAGCCCCAGCCATTCGTCAGGATATTCTCGAGGGACGCCTTGAGAACGTACCTGCAAAGCCTGTTGAAACTGTTGAATAAGCTGTCCACTGCAGTGTTTTGCACTAATCGACGCGAGCAACCTTGTTCAACATCTACAAGTCCATCGACTCTGCAACCTTTCGGTTTTCGTTCACTGATCCTAGCTCTTGCGAGCAACCATCCAAGTGTGAATAGCAAACGGTACTGTCCATTGAGAAGTGCATGTCTACTACAACCACAACTACAAAGTTCCCCTGTAGTGGAGATTGGAAGGTTTCTGAGATCGAACGCCATTTCTTTGCGTCTAAAGAATTGCAAAGAGGGCTGGCTGGAGCATGCTTGAGCTGTAAGTGACCATGTCAGTCATTGAATTGGCGGTCGTTGGCCAACTGGACCATCAGACTGGCGCTTGCCCCAAATCGAGAGCGGCGCAGTGCCAAAAACGTGCAAGCGCAAAGGGCTTACTCTCCCAAGGGGCCCGTTTCAAAAGCACTCATCTTCCAATCGACCATATGGAGCCCCTAGTAGCGTCCTTGCTCCTACTAGTACGGCCAGGAGACCCTAGTAGCGTCCTTGTTCCTAGTAGCGATGCCAGGAGCCCCTAGTGCCAGGAGCCCCTAGTAGCGTCCTTGTTCCATATGTCAAAACAAAGATGGGAATCTTTGATGGGATGTCAACGGCTCAGCACCGAGGCCTGAGACTGCCAGGAAGGTGTCGAATGATTCTGCCGAGTCAGCGGACAAGGCCCGGGAAGCCATCAGAGTTCTGCAAGCATGCAAAAAAAGGCAGATATAGAGATAATATAGTAATATAATGTAATATACTAGTCTTTTCCAGAACGTCACTTGTCAAACCAAACCTGAAAAAAAGGCAGGACTTGGGTTTTGGGGGTTGAAATATTGGATCACTTCGGAGTGGCGCTTGTTCGCTGTTCAGGGTTCACCCAAATTGCAGCCAGCTGACCTCGTGACACAGGCAGGGGTGCCTCACAACGGTGGAGGATGTAGACCACAACGAGTTTTTGTTCCTTCTCGTTTAAACTGTAATTTGTAACGGTAAACATTTGTTTACAGCATTTTACAGCTGCTCAGCATGAATTGTATCCACGGTGAATCCAGTCAAAGATGCCAAGGTATATTGCACATATCCGAGGGGTGCGGAAAGTGATTTCACTGTGGTTGCATTGAACAGGTTTGCCTTGGCATTCTCGCTTGACCAAGGCCACTGAGAGTGGCGGAGCCTCATCGAGGATAACTGCAACCCAGGCAGCCAAGTGGACTTTGTGGCCTGTCCTGTGATATGATCAACAGAACGTATGCCCTTTGGGCATTTACAGATGTTTAGGAAGCTATTGCTATTGTATAATTACCGTAATTATATGCTCCATCAGATCATTCTGGCAGTAGTTAAAGTTTGCAGCATTTTGCAGCAATATTCTGGTAAATCCGAGTGCATGTGAAAAGACGTTACGATCTCGAATCCATAGTCATCTGCGGTCCTTTAATGTTGCGTAGATGCAGCATTCGTCAGATTCGTGCGCCAGGTTCAAGTAAGGCCGCGAGTCAGTGGCTCCAGCACTCAAACCTTGTTGCCTCCCAAGGACTGATGGTGACTTGTTGCATTCAATTAAAGCATGTTAAAGCAATTTAAATCATATTAAAAGCATTCAAGCGGCCAGCTGTTGCGGATGCACTTGGCTCAGTATTGGCTCTGGAATCGGCCGCATGCGAAGCGCCATTTTGCATCAAGCTTTGTGACATCAGGTGGTGGCTGAAAATAACATTCAGCTCTTTCAGTCGCTTCAGCCATGTTTGCCTCACCCGGCCTGCGGAAAAAGGGTTGAAACCAGCGGAAACGAGCCAGTTCCGATCTGGTCCGTCGTCGGCGCCGGGGATGGTTTTAGGGACTCCGTCCTCAACGCCGAAGATGTCACTTAAAAGCTTCCACTGTCTTCCACTTCGAAGGTGGCTCCAAAACAAGTCCAGGGGCAGCCAGGGGCGGGAGCTGAAGGTTTGAATATGACTGACATACTCTGACTATTAAATACTATTAAATATACCCTAGGGTATAACTATAGAGGACTGTAGATCTATATATCTATATCCACCAATTACTATAGAGGACTATAGATCATCATAGGCCGCTCCGATCCCGTCCGCGAGGATCGGAATGGATTTCGCATAACCGTCGTTTTTGGCGTTTTCGCATCCGTCGTGAGGAGGCACGCTTCCAAAACTACAAAACCTTGGTTTTGGATCTCGATGAAACTCTCGTGCCGTGGCGGACTGGGCGGACTCAGAGAACGCGTGCTGACTGCGCCACTGGTGTTACACGAGAAAGTATGCCGCTCGCGCGCGGAGACCGGAACTATATAAGTTCGCGAGAAAGTTAGGATGTGAAGTGTTGTCATTTCATGGGGCTCATCAGTTTGATCGACTGAGGTACACAGCTCTTTCACAGAAGTTAGCTGTGATCTTGTCTGGAGACCCATTGGAAGTCGGACACCTGGGGTTGATCATTGATGGTGTGCAGAGTTCGGGAGTTCTGGAATGTTCTGGGAGCATTTGACCAGAGGGTGGCCATGACATGCAACAGCATACTGACATCAATAATTAGTCCTTTTGCGTACATACCTCTGCAAGCGTTTGCGATGCCACCATCCAGGGTTTTGAGCAAGGCAGTCTGAAACCCTCAAAGTCGGCTTTGTTTCAACCCTGATGTCATAATGCTTTAGACAAACAGCTTCTATCAGCAGCGAGCTTCCACCAAGAATCAAGACTGCAATGCTGCTACACTCTGGAAAGTCTCTTGTACAGTAAGTTCATTCGACTATTTGTAATGAGATCCAACAACTGCGCTGTTTTCCTACGTAGAGATCAGTGATCATGTCAAGATCCTTGGTCCTTGCTACATTTAGACATTTTAGAGTGTCTACATGTTTCTACCTGTTTCTACAATGTAGAACCAGTCTCACCATCCCAAAACGCGCGTTGACCCGTTGTCTCAGCACCGGCTGAGCGCCCGATGCGGCCAGGTTCTTTCGGTGATGTTGGCCGGTGAAGAGCACAAGGTTTCACTGGGCGGGGTCGGTTGGCTGGTTTTTGCCTTTTGACGACCGCCAGGTAAAAAAGCAACACGGTAGGTACGAACATGTGGAATACGTGGAACACCAACTAATTCGTGAATCAACTGTCCAACTGTCCGGCAGGGAACAGGAAGGCAACAAGGCTTCTTGTTCTTCGACCTGCGCAGGTCTATGTACGGAAACGGCCCGGCTTGGATCACTTCCTTGCGACGGTTTCGCAACTCTACGAGGCAACGTTGCTGGGTGGTTCCGCGGGGTGGTGTACAGTTACTTCAGAAGTTTCACGGTGACAGTGAAGTCGGAGCCCTTCCCAATGACCAGTTTTTCTTCCCGAATGCGTAGCGAAGGGTTCTCGGCGTTTAACTCTAGGGGTCTGGGGGTAGAGCATGGTAGAGCCTTGTTCGTGACGCGTTGTCTCAGCGTTTGCAACCGTCCTCAACCGTTCGCAACCGACCGCGCCGTTCGCATGAGGACGGTAAGGCCGCTGCCATTCGGGGAAGCTTTTGGAGTCAGTTTGGCATGGAAGCGTGATGTGTCAGATTCGTGTGAAATAGCGAGGAATCATGTGGAAACGTAAGATGTTGAAGTGTGGAGGATGATTTCACTGCGCAGGCGCAATGTTTTGTGAGATCCGCAGTTAATGCGTAGTCACATTGGGATTGGGATTGGCGTGTGGAGGGTGGTGTTTTTGGGGTGTTGGATGTGGCTGTGCCAATGGGATTTGCGTTTCAGGGTGTGGCACTGAAGCTGTGTTTTCGTGGGAGTGTGCTCAGAATGGATCGAAATCCTTCCAAATGTGTGACGCGGTGCAAATGATGATATTGTCACTTTTCGTGGCAGCCGCAGTCATTTGTGCGGGCTTTGAGGTGTGGAAGTGCGACTTGGAGGGGCTGGAATCGCGAAACTGCTTGGCAGGGCTGCTTGATGTGTGTACTCCGATGGAGCTTCCCGCTTGACTTTTGGAGGGCGCGAAGCGCTCGTTTTGCAGACTTTGACGTGTGAGTTTTTGAGGAAGTCTGGTACGAAACCCTCGTTTTGGAGACTTGACGTGTGACTTTTGGAGGACGTTTCGTACGAAGCGCTTGCTTTGCGGACTTCAAGTGTGAGTTTTTGAAAAGAAGTCTCCCGCGAAACGCTCGTTTTGAAGACTTGACGAGTGAATTTTGGAAGAAGTCTCGCGCGAAACGCTCGTTTTGTAGATTTGACGTGTGACCTTTGAAGGAAGTCTTGAATGAAACGCGAGTTTTGTAGAATTCAAGCTGTCCCGCAAGAGTGTCCCACAAGAATGTCCGACAAGGTGTCCTACAAGTAGGAGCGCCCCCCAAAAGTGTCAGCCTACAAGAGTGTCCTACAAGAGTGTTCCGCAAGAGCGTCCCACAAGAGTGTCCCGTAAGAGTCTCCCACAAGAGTTTCCTAAGAGTAACAGTGACCCACTGAGAGTGTCTGTCCCACAAGAGTGCCCCTAAACGCGGCGTGTCGCTGGTGAGCGGGATGATTGGTGCTATCATGTGATATGTTGGCTTTCAGTGTGGCGGACTGTGTGGCGAAATATGGCGAAATTACGTCCAGGATGTCGCAGTGCCATGCGGATTTGCGTGGCCTTGATGGAAGGTGCGTTTGCGTGGCGCCGTGCCACTGGGGAGGGCGAAACACGCTGGTGTAAACGCGGCCTGCCACTGGTGTAAACGAGTGTCCTAGGACAGTGTGCCGCAAGAGTGTCCCGTAAGAGTGTCCCACAACAAGAGTGTCCCATAAGAGTATCCCACAAGAGTGTCCCACAAGAGCGTCCCGTAAGAGTGGCCCACAA